TTTGAACTCTGATAATTTCCGAAGTGTAGGTATCAGAATTTGAGAGAGTTTTACCAGTTTACTCTTTGTTCTGACAAAAGCAAGATCTTTGATACTTTGGAGACATTCTGGCTGAATCATCCTTTTTTTGACACAGCACTTCACTGGGAACACAGTGAGTATTTTATCCAAAATCTTCATGCAGGAAGAACTTTCCAAAGCAGCCATCCATGTTTTGGATTTAACTGGCACTTTTTACCTTGTATCTGGTTTATGAGCGTAAGCACTGGGCTGTAGTAGAATGATCTGGATCCTATATAGTAGTGACTTTATAACACTATTATCTTCTCAATGTCAGAAACCCAGTCAGTAAAAATCCTTTAGCACAGTATTGATCATGTAGAAAGTAAAAATTATATGTGGACTGCTATAAACCTTCCACCTCACTATTATCCCCTTGTTCTTATATCTCTCTGTGGGTTCATTGTATACCCAACTATTATGACCAAGTTAATTCCATATATGATCCGTGTTTACAGTTAAAATGGCTTTGGCAAAATCCAGACATCTGATACCAACTCTACTAGCTCTGTTGACCAAAGCTTTCATCCTGCCCAAAATTAGAAACGAGCTTTGCTTGACAGAATCTACTTCTATGAGACCGTCTATACAGTGTTCAAGATAAAATACAATTATATTCTCATCCTGGAAATGTTTGCTAACATTGTGGCAGATTAATCATTCTGTTCTTGTAACCAAATTCAGTGATAGACTAGTCCTCAGTTTGTTAGGTCTATCTAATTAACAAAGCTTGTTTTTAAATGTCAGAGCTACATCAGTGTAAGAATGAATGTATAAAAATTTCAACATCTGCTATCTTCCCGTGGAATGAAAATAGGAGAATCTTAAGAATTAAAACTCCAAAGAAGTTATTAAAATTTTCTACAACAAAGAAAAGCTAACAATCATAAAACTGTTAAGAAAAAAATCGTCCCTTTGAATATTCCTTAAGAGGTCACACACATCTGAGTGAATGTTACTAACGTAACTGGAAAGCCAACAATCATATGATGGCAGCTGATATTTTAAATGCAACAGTGACCTGAAAAAGGCACTGTCATCGTACTCCAATGAGATGCTAGGAAGAAAAGGAGCAATATCTGCTCCTTACTCTCAGATTCAGCAATCCAGCTTCATCTTGCACCTTCCTATAAGCACCTTCAGGAGCCACCAGCAGTCAAACAGATGAGAAGTCACTGAACCAGTTCAGCAGGCAGCTTCATTAGCACTGCTTCCGCAGCATGGCTGAATGAGAAAGTTTGAAATAAAACACTGGCAAGAAATTGGCTTTCTTTTAAAGATTCTTAGGGTTTCATTACATGCCGCCATAATTAATAACTTGAACCAGCTGGAGATGATAAATTTGTTGAGGGACAACATAGGTTATGCTGGACAATAGAGAAAATCTGTCTTTAAGAGTGTTAATAGTAATTACTTACCCCAGAACCTCTTCATTAATTACTTATGCTAAGTTTCTGAATTTAAATACTTTATTATGTGTCATAAGACTTAATTGACTTTGCCTATTCATAAACTGGTTAGGTTTGTTTAACCTTCATTCAGAATAAATTTTGTTTACCCTTCAATGACATTCCTTTCATTTCTATGCATTGTTTTTGTTATCTGTGTTATGCTAAAATAGAGCACACATCTGCTTTAAATTATTTAAACATGTAATATTCCATTGAAGATGAGGATTGAACCTACATGACCTATGGAAACACAGGGAAAAGCCAGGGTACTGGTCTGTCAATTTATTCGTGTATTGAATGATTTACAGAGTTTATTTGCAGTTAGTTTACTCTAGTGCTTCCCTCACCATTAGCCTGGAGTCTCCAGGAGCTTTTTTGGTTGCTGGAACCAGAAACCTGAATACTGGCTCAGAGATCATCAAAGCATTGTGCAGGGAGACATCATGAAGCAGATTACAGAATTTATACGCTCATACCTCCCAGTTTGGTTTACAAACCCAGTTAATAAATCAGAGTCATAGTAGTATATGGTAATAATTGCAATTCTGTTTAATTGTGATGTCCCTTACCTTTTACCAAGTAATCTGATGTGATCACGGAGGGAGTTAACGAAGATGTTGATTTGGCAAGTACTATCATAAAGGTGGTAACAGAATTTGTGGGTGTGGATGTGCCTGTTCAGAGAGAGTCTGAATAGGGGTGGTGTTTTGTTTATTTTATTTTATTTTTTAAATAAAGAAGAATTTAATATAAAACTATGCTCTAGGTTTACTTATGTCTCTTGTTGAACAGGTTCTTCAGAAAACCAGTTCTATTTGGGTATCCCAGGAGGCCAGGTTTGCTGTAGGAGTTGATCCACAAAAGCCAAATACATGACTTGGTTTGTGCTAATTTTCTGAATGGACCATGTAAAGAAACAGTTTTGTGAAGAAGCATGGAATGCCTCATCTGATTCCTTTCAAATCAAAACTGCCCCCCTTGACTTACTTGAAGATCAGACCTGTCCCATCCCTATTCAATGGCCAGGTTTAACCTACTTACCCCCAAGGTGGTAGCTGAGCTATCTGGAGTTGCAGAGGTCACTACGGAGGGCTGTTACCATGCTTCAGTGAATGTTGGGGAGGGGATCTAGTCATGACTCACCCCTCAGCCTTTTCCTTTAATCTGGTCATTCCCACCTCTCTAGTCCCAGCCTGTAAAATTTGGTATTTCTGTGTTAGATCCTCATCACTTTCTTTCAGTCACCTCTTCTCCCTGGAGGCAGAAGAGAGAGGGAGTTTATTCTGGTATTACAATACCTCCATATTGAACACCTGAAATACAGGTGTCTACACAAATGAATGTAGAAACCAATGCAGTTGATGCAATTTCCGCACAGCGCTCTGCTGGCCAAGAAATACATTGCCAACTTGCACATGTGCAAATTACAGAAAAATACAGAAATTCATGTTTGAAAATAAAAACACAAAACTAGTGGTACATTGAAGAATACAACTCGCAGTTATCCTCCCCCGGAAGAAATTGCTCTTGTGAGCTGGTTGATTACTTCATGTGTTTGCTCATGAATGAGTCCTGTGCTAATGACTCCTGTGGAAGAAGCTGCTCTGTACTCCCTGTGCTGATGGAACTGCATGGAAAGAATCTGGAGCAAGGGATTAAGGGACCAGTAGGTCCCTAGGCTGGTAAGAATAAGATGCCCTTCAGGAATACATATAAATCATTCTTCAGTCATTGATAACAATTTTCCTTCTAACCCACTGCTTAAGAAAAACTATCTGTCTAAAATAATAAATCAAATGTGGCAGTTGACCAGGTGTATTGACAGTAGGAAAAAATAGTTCGGATCAATTTCAGGTGTATTTCTCAGTGATGCAGACCTCAAAAAACAGAAAGTGGAATTCCAAGTTTTCCTCTTTTGCTTGAAAACAACCACTGAAAGCAGTCGTGGAATATATCAGCTCTAAAAGAAATCCATTGAGAAAGTCACACATCTGGTAAATCATGAACATGCAGAGCCTTGGCAATTGGATTACAACCTGAGCTAAAACATGGACTGCACCATGAGCTTTCAGTACAATTAATATTTTATTCTGCTGTTTATTTGATTTGCAATCTGCACACACAGTGTTTACTTTTATTGGCTGCAGCACTAGCTCGGGTGCTTTGCCAGCTTTTCCACCAGTCTCCTTACCATCACAGAGCCAGCCTCTTTTACAAGAGGTGTTTTGAGCTAGAGCTAGCCTAGACTTCAATGGCTGTAAGGTGCATGGACTCCAGGTTAATTCAGCTCAGTACTTGCCTGCTTTCCAGGCACCCATAAATGTCCTAATGGCTTTCCGCAGTTCCCTCCCAAAGCAAAGACAGGCTTTCCCTTATTTGTGGCACTGAATCAAAGCATAAAGCACCAGGACAGCTACTTCCATACACATACACAGAAACATGCTTAGCATCAGCCCAATTTGAGCAACATAATAATTTGCCCATTACAGAGAAAAGAATAATATATAAGCTAATATATACTATTAAGCTCATATAATGTATAATCTAATATAATAATATATAAGCCAAGGGAAAAAACAAGCCAGCCCACCAAGTACAGTAGAACTAATGGGATCTGGAGAACATAAATAATTCAGAAGTTGAAGGAGAAGTCATTTGATTAAAGTGGGAAAGGAAGATAGATTGGATGAGGTTTTCAGTATAACTGAGCTTGGTGATGAGGCACCAGAAGAACGAAGGATTAAAGGAACTAGCGCAGAAAGGGTATTGGGAAGGAAAAAAAAAAGGTATTGCTGGAAAAAGGAGAAAAGTTAGCAGGCCAAAGAAGACAGAGAATAAATGAAAGATGAGTATAATGGTGAAAAAGGATGGGAATAAAATATGCCAGTACCTAAGTAAGTTCTTCCACTATCAATCTTAACAAACTCATTGAGAAAAGTCATTATCTCACAGTTTGTAAGTATATCAGTGTGCACATCATGGGTGAAATTAATTACTCTTGAAATCTCCATCTTGTCATGTAAAGAAGAAAAAAAAAAGGATGTATTGAAACAATCTTTCAAAATCATTTGTCAAGAAATGCATATTTAAGTAGTATTAGATGCTCCATTAAAGCACAAAAAAAGAGTGCTCTTCTTTCTTTCTTTTTTCTTTGCAACATCCCAGAAGCAGCATTGTTAGTGACACATAACCACAACAGGAAACCACTTTCACCACTTTCATTATTTTTTCTAGGTATGACTAAGTATGAAATCGTTTCACAACAGGTAGAGCACCAGAAACATTACTTATTCTTTAGCTTTGCTGAGTACTTAAGTATATTTTTGAAAATATAACATCATCAAGACCAGGTTGAACGAAGCCTTGTGTGATATGGTTTAGTGTGAGGTGTCCCTCCCCATGGCAGGGAGGTTGGAACTTGATGATCTTAAGGTCCTTTCCAACCCTAACTATTCTATGATTCTATGATTCTACCTTTGGAAAAACGATCCCATAAAATATCAGTTATGAATTATACAGAGCAGTCCATAAATGTACCAACATAGTAAAAGCTAAAATTCCTTTCTAAGCAACTCAGTCTATCTTAAACCAATTCTGAGGCTGGAACAAGTTTAGGTGCGAAGTATTAACATCTTCTGTTAACGACGGCCCACAGGCCTTTAAGAAGTGAACATTTTAATGACTTGGAAACTCTTGAAATAACTCTCTATACTATTTTAAAGGCCCCCCACTGATAAACTCCATTAGTTTCTCTGCAGAATTAATGTATTATGCATTATTACGTAGATTGTATGCATATGCATTATTAAAATCTTTGTAAACCCATGCTAATGACTTTGGTATCATCCCCTTCCAGGAGCTGCCACGCACCAGTGAAATACCTGATCAATTGGGGATTTTCTCCCCCCTCATAAGAGAGCTTATGCAATTCTTTAGCTAGAAGCAGTGGATAACCTGGAGGAGCTCCTGTCCCCACCTTCTATGCACTGGAAGCGAAAGGGCAGATAGTGCCAATGCTGCACAGTGATGATGATCCCTGGTGCCTGTGGGATGGCCTGGAAACCACAGCACCCTGCTCATCACACACTTGCTTGATGGAAGGTCAGCCTCTGCACTCTCAGTTGCTAGGACTTGAGTGGCTTGCTCAGTCTATTCCCCTGTGATAAGAAAGTAGGCATCACTCAGATGCATGTTTAAAATAAAACCAGAGGATGATAATAAATAAACTCAAACATGACTAATGTACAACCCCTACATTCAGTTTTGTTCCTAAAGCATCTTTACCTTGTCTGTGACTCTGGTTCTCCAAGATGATGGTAGTGCTGCTTATATCTCAGCCGGTGTAATGAGCCTTCTGCTTGGATGGGCAGGGAAGGGGACAACACCTCTCTTTCCCACTCAGCAGAATTCATGTGCAGCAACTATCTCAAAGTCCACAGCACATAGCTCTTTACAAATCAGCAACTGCAAGCAACAGAAAATCAGGGCTGAAAATGATGACTACTTTTTTTCCTCCCTATGGAAGCACAGATGGGTTCCACAAAGACTGAAGTCTGTGTCATTGCATATATCAGTTTTGTGGTGTGGGATGGAGGCTTGAGCATTTGATCCCCAAAATTTTACAAGTAATTTAAGAGAAATGACTATTGTATATCTCAGTTTTTCTGACACCTTATACCTATGCGCAGAAGCGAGACTTCTGTAGCCATGAAAACCAGCTGTGGAAAATCAAGGAAGTTAGCCAGACAACTTTGGGTTGAAAAGTATTGAAGGTAATCTGGCCCAACAACTTCACAAAGGGACTGAATCAATTTTACATAAAATAATCATTAAATTTCAAAATGCATGTGTGTGTCTGTATATATATAAAGGAAAAACCTCAGGAATCAATTTGTTGGTATTGGAGAGAAGCAGCCAGGAATGCTTTTCATTCTCTGTACAGCTTCATGACATATTTTATTTGTGGTTTGCTTTGAAAAGATGAAGTGTAATTGCTCTCAAGGCAAGAACAGACGGAGCTTTTCAGAGGCTGGAAAGTCATGTGTGTTTTGAACAGACTAAAATCGTTTTTTTCTCCCCTAAGAAAGGAAAAAACAGAAAAGTGAAGCAAACTCGTCGGGCTGAAGATGGGCTCACACGAACCTGTACGCAGACAAGTTTTGAATAATGAAGGTCCTGTTGTTGCACGTATGTTTCAGCAATGTACTCACAGGCTGTCTGGCCCATCTACATTTTTATAGTGTTTTCTTCTCGTTGATTGCTTTCATAAAAACTGATGGTATCACTGGAAATGCCTTTTGGAGCCAATCCTTCAAGTTTAGCTCTCTAACGCTAAATGCACTATTCGTTGAACATGGTTTTGCCACTAGCTTTAGATCCTAGCCCTGTGACAGTGCCTGCAAAAGTATCCAACACCCTTAGCTCAAATCTGTGTTTCATGACCCCAAAAATCTGAATGGAACTACTGATGTCTTCAAACATCAAACATAAAACAAGGCAAGAACAACACTGAATGGATCCATTAATTGCCACCACCCTTGTGAGTAATTTGCTGATGATAAGTGATCATCAACAAGGTAAATTCTGTTTAAGCTTAAGGTTGTCTCTTGCTTGGCTTGGAAGATGCAGAAATCTGCCTTCCTAACGCATAAAGACCTTCATAGTGCTCTTCTGTGCAGGCTCTCATTAGAATAATGGGAAGGTAACACATTCCATGACATCTGACATATACAAGAAACAGGAGGTCCAGTCACACGTGGAGAACATGCAAAATAGTTGTGCAAAATAGGTTACAGGAAAGGTTTCCTCTATCTTTCCTGAAAAAAAACCCACAACCAAACCCAAGGCACCCAAACCCAAACCCAACCCACCCAAGCAAACCCAGCTGATTCGTGGAGAGACACTTACCCCAGCTAGTCTTGATAAAGCATCAGCACTCATTTAAAAAAGCAGGAAAAAAAAACCTGTGCTAAGGAGAAATTGTTCTGAGCTGGTGAGGTTTTCATGGGCTCTCTGCCAGCTCTAAGTCAGTCCTCAGCATTTCCCCATGTACTCTTCAGTAGCCGAGTATCAAAGTAATTGGAGGAGGAGAAAAATAGGTGGTGGTGAAATGTAAAAATCAGTGGAATCTGGGTAATCTGTTCAAAGAACACAACTCTAATGTAATGAACAACCTGTGTAATCATTCCAAAATAACTCCATGGTCAGGCACATTTAAGAATAATCTTGCTTTCATCAAGCATAAATCTGAAAGTGGATTTACTGATCTGGATTAAGGGACTCTTCACCTCCCCGACAAGAACAACACTGTGCCCCAAGGAATCATCCAGATACAAGTATTGTGGTATAAATCCACAACCTCCCACAGCTTACCTCAAACTTCATGTGTAGACCTGTGCATTGCGGAGGGACAAAACTAAAAAAAAATTGCTATTACAAATATTTGCAGATGATACTTAGTGGCTGCATCTCAGTTAATGAGCATGGCAGCAGGGATAATGTGAAGGCTTGGGGATTTTCTACCAGTTGCCAATCATCTCTTAGTTCAACATACCCAGACCAGAGTGAAACTGGAGTGACACCATGGAGAAGACTACAGCCACTTTCACCTGGCACAAATCAACACAACAACAGACTTATGCTGATGTTTTTCAGATGTGTCTCTGGACCATCAGGATCTATATTTAACAACTGGTATCTTGCTTCCACGCATCCCAGCTTGGCCAGTCCCCCTTTCTGCTGATGGCCTGGGTAGCCAGGGGTGCCCACATGTTTGTTCCCGGGTAGTTACCCACATGCCCAGCTAAAAGGTGGTCTTGTAACAGCCAGACTAGTGAGGCCCATTATGGAGATTTTATTTCCCCCTTTCTCACTCCACTTTATTATCTGTGCCCCTGCAATATTTATTTGATAAGCTGCACTGCCTGCTTAACCAACCACATCTTTCAAACTTATTTATGAGGGATGACAGATGAGCTTATAGTGCAAGGGAAGACTGATAGGTGAGAGCATATTACCGCACCAGGGTGACACGAAAAATTATTCTTTGATTATTGAGAAGCAAAAGACCTCTCCCAACATAGAGAAACATACCCTGTTATCTGCTGTGCCTCTGTTGTCCTCAGTGCAAGGAGAAGGACTGCCAGACCAGGGAAACATTATTGCTAATTTGCATTTATTCAGCTTATAAAAAAGCATCTACTAAGCTCAGAGGTCATGGAAGAATGCAGATTTACAAGTCCCATGGCAGAAATATTTCCTTTTTCATAGCATACATTTCAGGGGTAAGCAGCATCAGTGAAAGATTTAAGCATTCCATCCCTTTGAATGTTTAAACTTTTTTTTTTTAATAATTACATTGTTTCACATACCAGCTGGGTCACTTCCACAGCCTTTCCTCTACTGCTCGATTCCCAGCCTTTCCCTTGCTGCAGCAGATCTGAATTTCAAAGTGCATCAAGCAATCCATCCAGCCCCATCTCTGCATCTTCTTTGTGAAGCATGTAGCTGCTCTCTCACCTCTCTTTAACCTCCAATAGCAGCTAAGCCTGGATAGGAGCTGGAGAAGGAGGGCTGCTCCATGTATTATGAAAATATACCTTTCTATGGCACCGTGAACAAGGGGTACAGCTTTAAAATCCCAGAACAGGGTCAACCAAGGTCTGTCTCCTTCTGTCACTGGGAAGCACACACAGCTTTTTGTGGTGCACTAGGAGGCAGGGTGCTTTTGGAGGGGAGTCAGGCTTCCTTTGCAAGAAATGGAAACCTTTACTGGGCAAAGGAGGGACCCAGGAGAGCAAATTGCACATCCTCACTGTTTCATCCATGAGGCTCAGCAAGCTGAGAAGCTCCTCCACGTCAGTGACCTGGAGTGAGACAGTGAGCTGAGGAGGAACAAGAAGATCCCATGGCCAGAGCAGAAGACATCCCTGCAGAGACATCAGCCCACGGGATGGACTGGCACTTGCTGTCCAGCTGTTGTGGCCTTGCCAAGACACCTCTGCAGCATCATGGGTGGCAGATGTGTTCCCCTCTGCATTGGTGCAGCCCAGCCCTCCCACCCACTGGCTTAGACAGGCAATGCAGTGGACCCCATCTTTAACAGGCAAGCACTGGGAGTGATGCCGGGGTATCAGCAGCTCTCCCACCAGCATCTGTTTGGCTGGATGCAGAGACATGGAGACACCAGGGCCTCTAGCAGGGTGACTCCACCCCAGCACTGTTTCTTTTGCATGGTTTCACCCCCATGGGCCAACCAGAGTTGTGATGTGTGAGTTCTGCGGTGGAAAAGCTATTTGCAGCATGTGGCTGCAGAGAGCATACTGCTGCACTGCATTAAGCATCATGAGGTCTGGGGGGAAGGGGGGGGGGGGGGGGGGGGGAGGTGAGAGTCACATCTCCCTCCCCTTTTGAAGGAAAGCTCCTCAGAAGTACCAGGTTAAATCTTCCCCCCTCCCTTCCTTGCCATTAATGGCAATTCTGTTTTGCTATTCACCCTAGGTAGACATCTCTTCAGTTAACTTAACACACTCACTGCCTGAAAATAAGCTGTAGAAAAGCTCATATACTGGACAGGGTGACTTAAGGACTGTATGCAGGGCCAACGCATAGTTTTGTTGATCCTGACTCCCAGTATAACTAGCCTGGACACTGTAATGACGATGAGTGAGATGTGATGAGACTGCCCAAGCTGCAGTGAAACAACACTTACTCCCTGGCATACAAAGCAGATCAGTTATTAGACAGGGTGTCAGCACCACCACCTTGCCCTTGCTGTTTCCAACAGCTTGGTTATGTCTGAGCATCCCTCCTCTTCTCCCCTTGACCACACAGCCAGCAGCCTTTGGTTGAACCTCTGCATAAGAAATCAGCAATCAGGAGCAAAGACTTTTCTAGAATTAATACAGGAACAGGTAACTCAGCCAGCAAAGCATTCACTATCTGGAAATAGCTGTCAGGCACCAGTGCCCAGTCTTGATTTATTCCTTTGTTTCTCCAGATGAGGTATTTCAGCTCCTTTCCTAAGGGGCTCTGTCTGAACCACGTTTGAACTGCAAGCAATTCAGCATGCCTGGCTGTCACAAGGTGCTGCTGCAGCATTGCAGCCCCTGTACTGGCAGTGTGCTAGCTTTTAGAGTGATTAGTTTCTTACTTATTT